ACATGTTGTAATAAGTAGATATGGGTTGTTATCAGGTAATGCATTATTCATGAATCATACCTGGGGCTGTTCAGAGTAACACATTACTTAATAATGAGGATATGTAGTGAACCAACGTTGCTTGAGGCTGCAGTGTCAAGCAAGCAGTAAAATAAAGAAACGTGCAAAAAGTATATAATTATTGTTATTATATTGGCGGATGTAGGGATATCAATTATAATATCTGTAGTAAATAACCCGAGGGAATAATTCTATTGGATCTTCAACAAGATCTTTCATGAGGAAAATTAATGAGATAAAAAGGGCATCACAGACAGAGTGAGAACGCAATTCAGTAATGGAGGAAGGTCCTCATTTAGCGCCAATCGCACTATACTGTATGTATTTGACTTGCAGATATATTATTTAAAACTATGAGAGCAGTGTGTTCGCAATCAATTAAATTAGCTTCACACAATGTGAAACAACAATGCTAAACGCTGTCCTTGGCATGCTTGCACTTTTATTTTAACATGTACCCCACCGCTAATTTCCCTCATGGGATTGCTCGAGTTTGCGTGTCTTCACGTGCGTCCACACACGCGCAGTAGGAGACGACGCAGGCAATTTATTCAATGTGACACAGATCAGACAAAGACTGTGGAGTGCTTTATGGGTAATATCATAAAGTTGGCATTGTCCTTGGGAATGAATAAACATTGGAATGAGCCCCTTGGTGCTTGTTAAGTTTACAATTTAATACTGTGGCTGGAAAAAAAAAACATTTGTATTCAACACGTACCGAGGTTGACGATGTAAAATCTGAATAATATTAGAGGGTGCGAGGCTAAAAAAACAAAAACTACTTTTATCCACATTTTTTCTCAATGAAATTTGAGCCGTAAACTTCTTTACCTTTATATTTGACATAAAAAGGTTTTTTTCGAGTTGAATACACTCGGCTGAATTTGTGTTTTCTTTTACTCTGCAGTGATTTCTAATAAAGTTGATGGTTAAACTGTAAAATATCAAGCCTCAATTACATGTATTCATCACATTCTGATTATATTTTTACCGTTCATTCTGTTCATCCCGCCATATCTGCCATATTTATACTCTCTTATCGTCTAGATTTGCCACTGCCTGTTTATATCTTTTAATTACTTCTATTTTTCATGTTTAATGCTGTTTGCACCGGGGATAAGAGGGAAACGCTATTTCAATTCTCTGTATGTCCTGCACATATGGCATTATTGATAATAAAGTTGACTTGAAACAACAGGGTTTGTTTTTTCATGCGCAATTATTGTTATTAATATGTAATATTATAGTTTTTTTTATCAAATGATGCCCAATATTCCATATTACTCACTGCTATTATCATTACGACGACTAACTACCACTTTAGTTTGGTATTAGTTTACTGTCTCATGTAACTTATGTTATTGTAATTTCTTCAAGGCACTGATTCTTTACTTTACATACACTTTATTCTCATTTTCAGTTCCACTCTTATTTTATTACATTAGCGTCTTATTGTACTGTACTTTACTATCCCAGTGCCTGAGCTCCCTGTCTTTCAATCGGCAAACCAACAAAGCCTAAAAGCTCTATGTAGCCATTTCTTACAGAGGAGCGATAGAAATTTAAAACATATTCCACGTATATAGAAATCTATGAATGACTTTGACAGAGGAGACAAAAGAGGGAGGTGTGATGAATAGAGCTTCACCCGAGAAATTCACCATCAGAGACGGATGAATTGGATTTCACATTAAGGAGGCAGGTGGATATAACACAGTGCCGGGGTGCAGTATGTATACAAAACACCTTGTAATGCCCGGTGCAACAGCTGGGGTGAAGCAGGATTTGAGCCAATGACTGGAGGGTGTAGTCGTAGTGCTCTGGGAACACGTGAATACATTTGTCAGTGATGGAAGAATAATGCAGAGCAGAGGAGAACTTGCTGGTATTTTGTTTGACATTTAGATTTGGAAAAACTGGCAGAGCAAATCAACAGAGCGGCGCATGCTGGAGAAGATGGCGCCATTGTAACCCGTCGCGTAAATCATCCAGACTGGACAAATCCAGTGGACTCCCATAATCCTTTTGTGACTCTCTGCTGGTGAGCCCCACGAGTGCCATTAAAAAAAGCCTTTTAAGATTGTCCCTCTTATCCTCCTATCCTGTCCTATTATGGCTGCTTGTTTGGGGAGAATGTTTCCTAAAGGTTGTTTGTGTGCACATTTGCGTGTCCTCGGTGTCCAACCCTTACATGCTTAACACCGTTTTGAAGAGAACTCACAAACTCTATTTCAGTGGCGTCCCGACACGTTTTCAACCACAACTTGTATAGAATACAGCAGGACATTATTAACAAAGTATTGTGTATCTAAATTGCACAAACTGCTCATTATTCCACAGCCGGCTCAATGCAATCACCAGCAGACACATGGATTAAATTAGATTGTTAATGATGCCTCCAATGTGTATTAATTATGTTAGAACAAGGCTTTGTGTGCGTTCAAGTGCAGTGAGAGGAACATCTCAGTCTCACAATTTGCACCCGAACAAAAGAGGCCTTTTTTTAGTAAAAGTCACAACACTGCTTTACACCGGGGCCACATGAGGTCAATATTCATTTACTTTTAGAGAATGCTGCATATATTTGTGGCTAAATCATCCCATTTTCTGTATCATAAGACATAGGAACTTGTGGGATGGTGCTTACAACAAAGTTGAATGTGATTATCAAAACCCAGCCGGCTGTAATGGATGCACTTGAACCCTGCAGCTTGGCGAGACTGCTATCTTCCTGTGTTTTATGTTCACTTCTACAACTTCACTCATTTTCTTAATCATTTAAAGGTTCCTTCCCAGGACTGTGTCAGTGGCCCTTTGCTAATCTCTTGACCCTCCTCGAGAATATTGATTTTCCCTGGCTTAGAGTCTTGACTGGTTTTACTCTCCCTGCCTTGGTTTCTCTTATCCTATGGCTCTCTTTTTCTCTGCTCCCCCCCTCTATCTTACCCTGAACCATTATTGAATGTGGCATAATTGTATTACATTGTATTGCGTGTAATCTAATAGAACACAGAGTTAATTGCAGTTCCTTATCATTGCATTTATTTTAATCTGCTACAGCCTGTAGTTACTACCACTGGTAAAATAAGGACCATAGGAATTTGTATATTAAATTTAACAATTTTAAACTAATTCCACTGACAACGTCCCCTTTATTGAACTTTATCTGACAAAGATTTAACAGATCAACATTTCATTTCTTTTATTTCCGGTTGATTTCAAAGCTATTGGTCAGTAATTCTGATTTTGTCAAGATCATAAAATAATGGAAACTGGACTCTACATATATATCAATGTGAGGCCAACGTGACCTGATCTTTGTCTAACCAAATCTTATCAGGTAATCTATGAGTCTACGTGAACATGTGGCTATGTTTGAAAGGAAGATAACGCGTTCACAAGGACAACGTCACCTTGACTTTGGTCTACCAAGTTCTAATCCATGGGACGGATGGACAGACATGCCAATGTACAGACAACTCAGCCACTGGCTTTCGAGAGCATTGAGGCATAGATATTAATATTTTCCACATCATCTCACCTTTGCACAAAAGAATGGTGTTGCTCTTTAAACTGTTGCCACAAGTCATGTGAAATCATATTATATTACAGGGCTTCCAGCCGAACATTTCAAAGTATGTATTGTATGTGAAGGTGGTTTTACATGTTTATGCATCAAAGTTTCCTTAAGTTTCCTTCCCTGGCCACTCAGCAGCTGCATGCTGAACCAGTTTTCTCATTAATCTCACTGCAACGGCTTGTTATCTTAATGACTGCTTAATTAGTCGGTGCTGTAGATGTAGATTGTGCTAACAACGCTACTATAGACTGAGGCAGAGTTTAAAAGCAAAGCTACAAATACAGTGAAAACTCTCAGGCTTTGTTGCTCATGTGATCAGGGTTGAAAGTGTGTTTTTATTTTACTCTCCTCTGCTAAACCAAGTAGTTAAAGTGGTACAAAGTTAAGTCCTGGCACTTGTTTCTCCCTCCAGATCATGCAGAGCTCAGCAGACTGAAGAAAGAGAACAAACTTTTCACAAATCGTTTAAACATGTGAACACAAAAGGTATCAATGGCTACTGTTCAATCCAATCCTGTGAGTCATGATGAGTCACAGAACTCAGTATTTGCCTAATGCTAAAATCAAGCTGAAGTTAAATGGCATTATATCTGAGGGCAGTGAGGTACATCATCATTTAAATCGCTTTTTAAAAAGCAGGCCGAAGTGGCTAAAATGCAGCTGTAGCTCAAAAATAATATAAATGAATAAAAATAAGAAAACACTCCAATCCTTCTCTGGCTCGAGGTGTCTGTTGCTGACAAAAGCTGAGGTTGTTTAGAAGCAGCAATTTGAAAATGGCAAAGTGTTCAAGTAAAATTTGTTGCAGTTCAGTTCTCGACTAAAAAATATAAACATCAGGGAAATAGAAATTGGGTTTTTCTTTCTTTCTTCTTCTGTAAGGTGAAATACATTTCTTAAAGAAATATGACTTAATTTTACCTACAGCTTAATATTAGGTAAAAATATTGTTAAATGGATTTATTTTACGTTCATTCTATTTAACTGAGTTTGTTGAAGGCTCTGCAAACTGTCTTAGCTTATATAAGCATTCCCCCTCTGCAGCCATGCACGAGTCAAGAACCAGGCACAAGTTAAATTATAAGATATAAATAAGAGAGCTGTGTCCTTTTTTGACTAACGAAAAAAAAAATTTAGAAAAAGAAAATAATAATAATATCACCTCTCTTAACCGTTCAAGTTGTTTTACCTGCCAAGGCGCATTGGCAGTATGAAAATAAATTACAGTATAAAGAAACCAGCAGTAATTTGTATTCATATTTTTACAAATACTGCAATACTGCAGTACAGTTACTATGAGCATAGTGTTTTCATAGTACGCTAAAAATACCACAGTTTTACAGTAACTTACTGCGTTTGAGTTGAAACCATGGACTGTGTACAACACGACAGCTCCCCAAGATCATCTAGATGGCCCCCTTGTGGATGTATATAGGTCAGTATAGGTCATAAATCCTGCCTCCTCCATGTTAGCAGATGGGACATGGGCCAACCTAAAAATTAAAAGATACATGTCAAATAAATTCTTCTCAAGGCAGCATCTTTCATTCAGAATATTTTGGCTTCATTTCTGGATAGTGGGAGGAAGTATTGATGTGTCGTCCACCTTTATATCCAGGCTATGTATGACGCACCCATACACACAAAGAAAAAGTAAGAAACTCTCCTACTCTGCTCTTTGAGTCTGATATTGTTTGTCAGAGCTTTTCACACCAACCATTGGACAACGAAAGAAATACAAACAATAGCCAATCAGATTAGGATGGGGCTTTGCATAAAGTATTACAGGCTGGTCACAGGATAACTGTGATCATTTGTCCTGGTAAATACAAAAATATGAAACACAATTTTTAATATTATTTATTCCACAAAGATGGAAAATATGCTCCATCATGTTTTTCTTTACTGGATTACATTTCCTTTCTCTACTTCCTTCTCCCTTCCCCTCAGTTCAAAGTGAGGCTTGTTTACCTCCCTCTTTCCCTCACATCATGTTCGCTCACTCTGTTCCTCTGCCACCCATCCTTCCAAATTTCCATCTCCCTCCCTCGATGACCGCCGCACTTTGCTTGTGTTAGCAGCACTCTGCAGCTCACTCCCCTGCTGCCAACTTGTCATTTTGCTCCCCTTTGTGCCTCAGATCGTCGTCAGTCGCCCACTTCTTCATTTAGAGACTTGGTGTGGCTCTCATTTCTTTAAATAGCTCCCTTTGCCTCCAGCAGGCTGAAGCTGCAGTCTGGCTCTGCTTATACATGACGGTGAACTGATGTGAAAACCAAATCAATCGCATGCCACAATGGATGTACGCACGGCACGCACACACCGCACATCAGCTCACATGGAAAGAGTAGCGATATGATATGACATGACGTGCTAAAACCACATTCATAGAAAGATCACTTAAGGTTGTGTGTCTCTCCATGAATCTGCTAAATACAGGTCTCTTTGCAGACCGTCTTATTCTGAATTCTGCTCCATTCTATTCACCCAGTGTGAAAATTAGTCATAACAATGGATTGCAAAGTCTTAATTTTGCACATTACTGAGTCATTGCCTTGCATAATGAATGCCTGCTAATGCACTTTTTTTTTGTTTTAATTCCCTGCAAAAGATTAAAAACATTCCGCTCTTATGAATCACAGCACAGGACTCTACATAGTCTTACTGTACTGCTTATTTTCTCACTGGATTTCTTGGGATGAGACCAAAAGTGGAGGTGGAGAGGGAGAAGGTCAATAATAGTGTGATGTCTTTATTTACTCTTCATCTCCCTATAACACGAGCTTTGTTTGGTCCAAAACTGTGTTACAACCAATATGGATCTGATGCAGCAGCTGAATATGGGTCAGTTTATCCTGAAATATCAGTTTGGACACTTTCCTAGATTGTCTATGGAGATCTATCTGTTTTACTGAGCTTTTTCAAGGTCGGGTTACGATGGAAGCAAGCAAGACAGAGTGTTAGAAATATTCCTCCCCCTAGTCACGTTTTTTCCTCCTTCTCCTGTGGGGCATCATGAGGTGTCCCCTGGCCAGATGGGATGTATTATCCCTCCAGTGAGTTCTGGGTCAACCCAGGGGTCTCCTCCCACTTGGCCAAGCCCAGAAAAAGTCCAATAGAAGGTGCCCAGGAGGCATCCTAATCAAGTGGCTCCTATCGACGCAAAGGAGCAGTAGCTCTACTCCAAGCTCCCTTCGGATGTCCCAACTCTGTACCTTATCTCTAAGGCAGGAGCCCAGCCATCCTACAGAGAAAATCTAATTCACACAATCTCATTCTTAAGGTTATTATCAAAAGCTCATGGCCATAGAGGAGGGTTGTAGTGTAGGTAAGACTTTCCATTTGCCCAGCCAATCTCCTTTTAGACCCTCGTTTCAGTATATTTAAAAACACTGTAAAATAAAAAATACACTTTCAAAGTCCTGATCGATATTTAACTCTAGTTAATATGTAAAAAAAAAAGTAGGCATTTGACTATTTTCTCCTCTCTCTTCCACAAGCTTGGTGAACTTTCACTAAACGGTCTTAAAAGGACCGTAGGTTTTGTAACAAACCAAAAAAGGTCATATCTCAGTAGCATATGATTCTATTCAACACATCAGTTCCCTTAACACTGACCAAAAATAAAGATGACAGGAAACAAGACTTTATTGTGACTCGGTAAGACAGAGGAAAAACCTTTCCTGTACGTCACATTTTGACCCACAACCAAAATTAACATATATGATATTTTCTCTTTCTGTGGGAGTCCAGCTGGAGTTTGGGAATAAATAAAGCAGGAAAATAAGTTGAAATAAAGCAAGACATTAAACTGAATCCCCAACAGCTCCAGGGCAACAGACAGCAAGATGTCCAGGGGGTCACTTTGAAGTCGATTGGAAAAGAAAATAACATTTGACTGTAAAGTTTTACTGTGGACAAGCAGCTCAATGTGTCTACGCAACAAACAAATCAATGGTTGCATATAGCTCCGAAAGGCAGAATGTTAAAATGCAGCTGCTTGTGTTTATCGATCACACATTTGTTACAGCTAGAAACTCAACTTTACATCAGAGGAGATGTGAGAAACAGGCTGAACATTCAAACTGCATAAACACAACACTCACAAATCCCCCTGTGGATATAGGCCTCCAACAACCAGTCTGCATACATTTTCCTCCATATTCATGTGAGCTCATTATGATCATCCATGACGAATGCACAACCCAAATACAGTACATGGAGAGTGTACAAAGTTAGTATGTATAGAAAAGCGATACATGAGAACTGAGTGATATATGTTAGTTCCTTTAGTTACTGCACTTACATACTTTCATGTCGGAGCAGTTTAATCGATTATGACTATAGATGATAGATGATTGAACCTTCCGTTGGCACAACAGCAAATGGTCTGTGTGAAATGACATGTGGACAGAAACTGAGAAAAGAGGAGAGAGGGGGACAGTGAGCGAAGACGCTGTGACAGGGAGACAAAAGGCTCCCAGGGTGACCAGCGAGGCGTGAGACCTTGACATCAGTCACCATTAAGTATCAGCCTCAGAAGGGAGCCCTGATAAACTCATGGCCTTTACCCTGCTCTCCATCAGGATGACAATGTACAGGTTTGATGGAAAGTGCACAAGGATGTATTCTTGCATGCGAGGAGGTTTTTTAAAGTGGAAACAGTCGCTCCTTTGCGAGGTGAAAGGATCACAACAGCCAGGCTCTCTGCTGTCAGTGCATGTTTGGTTTTGTCTCAAAAAATGAGGTTCTGCTTGGGTGTCAACTAGGCCTGGGCCGATAATCAATAAATCAATTAATCGCACGATAAATTTAAATGAACTCGATAATTTTGCCGGCCTCGATATATCCCCATGTGCATGCGTGTTTGTTTTCCTCGTCTCTCGCCTCCAAGCAGGCTGGATGACAAGAGGGTTCACTCTGAGCTCGGTCTCAGCACCTGGGGGCGTTGGTTGCGGAATGAACGGAGTGAACCCTCTTGTCAGTCATCCAGCCTCTTTGTCTCTGTGGGGGGAGGTGGGGCCGCTAGCATTAGCCACACATGCTACACACACAGAGTGCAGTGAGTGAGCGTCGTGCGGAGCAACGCGAGGAGAAAAGATGATTGCAAAGTCAAACGCCACAGCCCCGGTGTGGGAATGTTTCGCTTCACACTGAATGAGCAAGGTGAGCCCATCAACACGGACGAACCAGTTCAAAAGTGGTGGCAACAAAAAAAGGCAACACAACAAAGTTGCATGCCCACCTGAAGCATCACCACCCGACCCAGTTTAACCAGCTGGGGAAACAAAGTGCAGCTCGAGATGCAGAGCCTTCGTCCCGACAGTCAACACTCACTGAAGCGTTCGGTCGACAAAGTAACTATAAACGGAACAGCGCAAAATGGTGTGCGCTCATTAAAAGTGAAGTTTGCTACATCACTAAAGGTAAAAAACACTGAGAAATAAAAGTTTATTGTCTTTGAAAGGGTGTGCATTATTATGATATATTATCATGTTGACAATAATATCGTTTATCGGCAATAATTCGTGTGACAATATATCGTCCAGCAAAATTTGATCGTCCCAGGCCTAGTGTCAACCACTTTCAGATTTTTCACAGTTGCCCAAAGCAAAACTGCTAATTAAGTACACTTTCAAAGCCAGAGGAGAACTAACTTTGTGATTGAGATTTGGATAAATTGTAATAAATTCTGTAGTTCCAAAGGAATAAAGAATAATTCTGTCAATTGTCCACAAAACGGTTTTGTTACCAAGGATAGGAGTGATTTGCTGGTAATGCATTTCTAATTAAGTCCCAGTCTATTTTCTGAGGCTTTTTTTTGCTTTAACTTGGCAGCCACTTTAATCACATCCCCTGCAGCTGTTGATCCACTGTTGTGGCGCTCTGTCTGACAACCTCTGACAGATGCTAATTTGTTATCGTTATTTCCTGCAAACTGCGTCACCTGCAGGCATGATCGACACCGTGGCTTGTCAATCCATGTGTCAACAGAAGTAGTGCTTGATGGAAGTCATTTTCCCATCTGGAGGGATGGTTAGAAAAAAAAATAGACAAATGTATGTATTCTATAGCATGGCAAATATAGATACTATTTTCATTTAGATATCACTCAATTCAAAAAGTTGGTGGACAGAAAGAAGCTTGAAAGCAGGGATACCACAAAAACCAAGGCCATTTAATTCATGTAGAAGTCAAAGAGTTTGTACAGAACAGAGATTTTTTTTAATTCTGAAAAAATATTCACCTTTATTCAATATTTTGCTCTTCAAAAGTGTGGCTAGCTGCGGTGAAGGTCATAAACCCCTCCTCCATTATAGTTGATTAAAAATTCAAGTTTGTCAAATATGGTTTTTGTCATTATAGGTATTTCTTATCACACTGGTGTATCTCCAATTGCAAATTTCCCTGGTAACTGTAGTTAGTTCACTCACAATTGGTCAAGTGCATATATTGGACGGGACCTCGAGAGCATGCCTCCAATCTATAATCT